GCTCCAAAATACCAGGGTGTACACAGTGTTATGCTTTAAACAAAGGAACTTAGTGAAATGAATGAATAAAAAAGTGTTTATTAAGTATTTCCTATATGATAATCACCATCTTAATCCCTGAGGAAACAAAAACAAAATCAAGTGCAATTCTTGACCTCAGTGAAATTTTAATAATAGAAAACAACAAACATAGTATGGGAGTGGTGGCCAGGAAGGGGTGCTTTGGATTGGAAAATTATAAGGATGGTAAATGGAGTCATAGAAGAGTAGAATGACATGCTTTCCAGTAGCAGTGGCAATACTGATTCAATTATGTTTCCAGAACTGGAAAGGGGGTAGGGGGTTAAAGGAGAACATGGAGGATACAAGACGTAGAAGTGTAGGGACAGGAGTAAAACAAAAAATGGTTGGAGCAGTGGGCCTGATATAGTGGGCCACTATAGTGCTGGAGTGTAGTGCCTTAAAGGAAAATGGTCCCTACAATGACTTTCTCAAATTTACCAATCTAGGGACAACAAATCCCAGGCTCCTCTGGATATAACAATCAGACATAAGTCTAAGAGGAATGCACACTCATATACAATTTCTTTTGTGTGTCTAGGCTATTTCTGTCTGTAGTCCCTCCTTCTTCCTCTGGCCAAACTATCTCAACAAATATTTCCTAAAAGAGAAAGAAATCTGGAACTCAAACTTGGGCCCATCATCCTCTTGCGTGCTGTGTATTCTCCAAAAGACTAAAGGGCTTATTAAGTCCATGGGGTCCATCCTCTTAGCCATGAGGTTGATGAAACATCAAAAGCCCAGATGATATAGAAAACAGTCAGCACTCAACTAGAATGAATAAATAACCTATTTAATTAGATGCCCATGGCCCTGATAGGTTCCTTGGCAATCACCATGATGAAAACACAATGTGGGACTTGGGCTCAATAGTGACTTTATGATCGTATTAGACAGGTTTTAAAAAGTATGGAGAATCATGGAACTGATTATCTGCTCTTTGATAGATGAGCTGATGAAAACACTGTATAACTTATTGAATTTGATGCTAATAGAACAAGATTATGGGCCTGCAAATGCAATGCTTCAGTCCCAGAGTAAGTACTTTGAAAGGAAAATGGGCAATCCATGTTTGGTCCTTGAGCAGGCTACTAGGACTGTGGGTCAATCCGTGGAAACTTCATGTCTTGAACTGGTCCACCTGTAGCAGCTGTATGGGGTTGGTCCTTGGTTACTTTCTCCTCCTTTAGTCTGATGGGGAAAGAGCACTACCCTATACAGAAGATCTGAATTTAAGGCTTCTCTCTATCACTTTATGTGCCTTGGGCAAATCCCTTCTCCTCCCTGGACCTTAGTTTCCTCCTTTGTAAAATTAGGGGATGAATGGTTCCTAAGACCCTTTTTAGCTATGATTATCTATAATCCTATGACCTCAAAGATAAAATATAAACTTCTTTATTTGACTTGTAAAACCCTTTACAACTTGACTCCAACCTACCTTTCCAGCCTCCCCTTCATGTGCTCCATAGTCCAGCCAAATTGGCCCTCTACATATAATCTCACATCTTTGTGTTTTTGCACAGGCTCTTCTTACTCATGCCTGGAAACCTCACTTCTATTCCTTAGAATCCTTAGTTTCTTTCAAAATTCAATTCAATTAACATCTTCTTTTGAAGACTTTCCCAATTTCCTTACTTGCTAGTGTTTCCAGCCTTACCAATTACCTTGTATATATTTTGTATACACTTTTCTTTCTTTCTTGGGGTTAAGTGACTTGCCCAGGATCACACAACTAGTAAGTGTCAAGTGCTTGGTCTGAGATCGGATTTGAACTCAGGTCCTCCTGACTTCAGGGCCGGTGCTCTATTTACTGCCCTTTTTGCATACCCTTTTACACTTACAAGTTGTCTTCACTGATCCACAGTAAGCTCCTTGAAGGCAGAGACTATTTCTTTTTTAGTCTTTAAATCTCCAGTGCCTAATCATATTTCCTGGCACTTAATAATTACCTAAATTAGTTTGTGGGGCTGATTTATTGATGGTATTTGGTTTTATTTATTTTTATGGGTTTTTTTCCATTTTTTTCTATACTCTTTTAAAGAGAGATATCCCACACCCCTTAACCCCAATTAATGTAACTAACAAGATGTTCTAAGACCTGATACCTTTATCAGGTAAGAACATCTCTATGAATCCATCAATCAATTAATCAAGCAAAGATGCAAACTAGGTGAAAATGGAATGAAATCACATGATGCTGCACAGGAAATGCCCTTGGTTGGTTAAATCACTTCAGTTGAGTCTTCCGGGGTTTGAGTAGAAAAGTGTGTCAATTCAGAATCTGGTATTCCAATAGCAAGCCAGCTTAGCTGTGGAACAGCTCCAGGCAAGCCCCAGAGAATAAATCTCTTGGGGAAAATCATTCTTGGGGAAAAGAGTCTCTATCTGTCCCCTACTCTTCCACCTTAACTAGAGGATGACACCATTGGCGTCAGTAGCAGTGTCCCTGGAACTATGAAGACTATGAAGTAGCAGCAGCATCTGCATCAGGAGATGAGGACAGACTAGACACACAGATGAAAGACTGCTACAGAACCTGACCCCTTCCTCAAAAACCTGGGAACGGCCTTGATTCTGATTTTTTCCAAAGCACAAAGTGAAAATGTACCCACAGGTTCCATTGAAATCACCAAATCCTGAGATCAGTCTCTTCTAAGACCCTAGTGGACTCTTACCCCCTGCTATGACCCAAACTCATTGGTGCTTCGGTTTCCAACTCCAAAGTGTAACCAAAGGCTTATCTTTAAAGAGCAGATGGCCTGAGCTATCATTTTTTATTAAAGTCAGCCTGTCTGAATATAAAAGCAAGGAATCTCTTCACTGCAGCCAGAATCCACTATTTTAAATACATTTCTGTAGTCCCTTTGCTGTCCAAAGGCAAAGGTTTGGCTATTTTTCTAGCTTCAACAACTAAGAATTAAAGAGATACAGAATGTTAGAACTGGACAAGAATCAGGTGACTACACTTTGACTCCATTTGTCACCAAATCACTTCAGATAAATGAGTTCTCTGTGACTTAGTTTTCTCATCAATTAAGCAATCTAGAAACATATTAAGGGTCTATTATAACATACACAAACTACACTAGGTTCTGGGGATTTAAAGACAAAAATAAACAGTCCCTACTCTTAACAAGCTTCTAATTATCTATAAGTAGCCCTCCCTTTTTACTTAGACACATCAGAAGGACAAATGAGATACAAAAATTAAATGTGTACCGAGCCAGGAAGAAGGCCAATGCTACATATATAAAAAGCAGGTTTATGAGAGTCTAACTAGGGCTGCAAGGAAATACAGAGGAGAAAAAAAATTGCATTAGGTCTGAGGCTGAAATAGCCAGTTCACTTTCTGAAAATAGTCTGCTCTTAAAAAGCCAGCCAGGAGACTAGGGCTGCGCCTACTCTTGGGTTTCAAGGTCAGATTGATCTGAACACTGATCCATCTTTTCTTCAAAGCCTTGGCGCTTTCTTGTATGGGAACTCAATGCCTTTTCATCAGGCAGAGATAATAACAAGGGGAAGATTCAGTGGTTACCTGGACAGGTAAACCTTCCTGGAAGAGAACTCATTTTAGACTCACAATGAGATCTAAAAAGGACCCTGTCAAGCTACTCTGGCTAATTTATTCAACAATCTTCCTTTCACTTGCTGGGTTGCTCTTTGAAAGACTTTCTTGAAAGCCTAAGATGACATTATACCTCCCTGTCAGACCTCACGTTTTGCTAACCTATCACCTTAGTACAGTAAGCTTCCCCTGAGGTGGGTTTCCTATTTAGGGAACTCAGAGAAAAACTGAAACTGTGATGCAGTCTATAAGAAAAGGAGCTCAAAGAATTTGCAATTATTTCATTCTGAGGGGTCTGATTTGGGGTTATAGAAGGAGGGAAGAATAACTAAAATGATCATGTTCAGTTTAGCTTTCTATTTCCAAGTCAAATGGTTTGTATGTTTAATTATGGGCTTCTGCCTTGATTGGGGTCATGATCACAGAAGTGTTTATGTTGACCCCATCTCTCTCATGAAACTCAAACGTTCTTTCCTAGGAGTACTCCTCCTTAGGATGCTGAATGGAAGGAATATATTGAATGCAGTAAGCACTTTGTAAATGTTCATTAAACTTGAAACAATCCATGAATTTCCTAATTGTTCTTCTCTCACAGATGCTCATGGAACCATAGGATTATAGAATTTAAAGCTGAATGAGAACTTAGGACTCATCATATCCAACTCCCTTATTTAATAGAATAGGAAACTGCATGAGGTAGTTGGCTACTTGTGACTTCCCCTCTCTGAGTCTCAGTTTCCTCCTCTGTAAAAAGGAGAGAGTCGGACAAGATGTCCTACCTACTCTGAAAATCTGTCATCCTGAATCCCAGAAAGAACATGCCAATTTTCCCCCTCACAGGTCTAAGGACATGATGCTTCATTCTCTTCCCCTCACTTAAAGCCAGTTCTGATGATGGTCAAAAGATAGATTCATTCCAGGGAGCTGGACTCAGAGCAGGTGTTTTCTAGGCAATATCAGAACAGATCTAGAGGCTGCTCTATCAAGATATATTCCTTTTTTTTTGTTAGGCAATTGAGGTTAAGTGACTTGCCCAGGGTCACACAGCTAATAAGTGTTGTGTTTAGTCTGAGGCCAGATTTGAACTCAGGTCCTCCAGACTTCAGGGCCGGGTGCTCTGTCCACTGCACCACCTAGCTGCCCTTAGGATATACTCCTTAGATGATACTTCTACACATTTGTGTTATTATGGAGAAAGGCAAAATTAATCTGCTATCTTTCCTGAGGATGAATAGCACTTTAAGGCTCACTGATGATACCTGGCTGAGGTATCATCAAAATGTAGTAGAGCCTCGTAATGATACTGGTACCAGAAAATAAAGTAAGACTTGTATATTTGAATATTATTATACTTATCATCACTATGAACTCATACCTATAGCACGTCAACAATCAAGTATTTTCTTCACATTATCCTTGTGAGGTAGGTAGTACAAGTGTTATTGCTACCATTTTACAGGTAAGGAAACTGATACCTAGAGAAAATAATAACATCTTAGAGTCAAGAGGTCATTTTAGTTTAACAAATAATAAATCCTGTCCAAAATATCCCCAATAATAATCTAACCTCCACTTAAATACTTTCAGTGATAGGAAACTCATCATAACACTTCATTCAATAATTTTCAGTTTTCTTGGCAAAGATACTGGAGTGGTTTGTCATTTCTTTTTCTAGCTCACTTTACAGGTGAGGAACTGAGGCAGACAGAGTTAAGTGACTTGGTCAGGGTTACTTATACAGCTAGTAAGTGTCTGAGGCTAGATTTGAACTCAGGAATATGAGTCTTTCTGACTCCAGGCCCAATGCCCTACGCACTATGGAGCCCCATAGCTGCCCCCATCATCTCCCTAGTGTAACCCATTCTATTTTTGGATTGTTGTTGTTTGTCCTTCATTCTCCAAGAGGACCAATGATATCAAGAAGGTGATGTCATGACTTGCAAATGAATTGGATTTAAGTGAGGCAGGGATATGCAAAGTCACCAGCCTCACTCTCTCTTCCAGAGCCACCTGGGTCTATTGGCAAGATCTAGATTAGGGTAACTGGAGATGGCCCCAGGTGCAGTGGGAGACCTTGGCCTTTTTAAGCTAAGGTCTTTCCCAGGTCTCAGTTTGTCTAAGGCAGGGGTGGGGAACCTTCAACCTGCCACATGTGGCCTTCTAGGTCCTCAAGTGCAGCCCTTTGACTTAATCCAAACTTCACAGAACAAATTTTCTTGTTCTGTAAAACTTGGACTCAGTCAAAAGGCTGCATCCAAGGACCTAGAATGCCACATATGGCCTCCAGGCTGCAGGTTCCACACCCCTGGTGTAAGGCAATGCCCAATCAGTGATTAAGGCTAGGTAAGAAATGAGGCAAAGAATGGCCTCTTTTACCTAGTCAAAAAAAAATCAACCTGGGAGGGGAAGAAGCTCAGAGTTTCTGGCCAAAATAGAAACAATTGCTATTTACACTCACTCTGAGACATCAGAACCCTAACAATGACCAAGTGAGCACCTTGGGCTGGGACCTCTTGTTGGCCAATCAATGAGAGCTAAAGTGGAGGATATTCTTTGTGTTGATAATAGATCTGCTAGAACAGAGGTGAAGCCACTTGCTCATTGTCATGCAGCTAACCAATGTCAAAATTAGGACTTGAACTCAAGTCTTCTAGTACAAACCTTCCATATGCAGTCTTCCCTATTAAAATGTGAGCTCTTTGAGATCAGGGACCATCTTGCTTTTCTATTTGTATCTCCAGTGCTTAGCATAAAGTTTTGCATACAGTAAATGTTTTTTCTTTCATTCATTCATTTGTTCATTCATTCATTCATTCTCTCCTTCCTTGCTTACTTCCTTCTTTCCTTCCTGCCTTCATTCTTTTATTCTTGCATTCCTATTTACTGAATACTACTATATATCCTAGGAAGTATAATTTGACTCTCAGACTCATTGGATGCAAACTCCAGAGAGAGGCTTTATAATGGGGTTAGACTACAACAAAATCTTGGGACTTTAAGAGTATCTTTCTCCTGACTCTTTCATAGGATTTTGAGCTGGAAGGGATCTTGAGTATCATATGGTCTAATTTTATAGATGAGGAAACTGAGTCTTAGAGAGGTGAAGTGACTCACCTGTCACACTCTATTAAGTAATAGTCTTCTGACCCCAAAGCCAGTGCTACTTTTTCACTATAACTCTTTTTACCATCATGTCACACCAATTGTACTTCCAATTTTCTTTTTCTCAAGCCCCAAACACTTTACCCAGAAGACTGTTATCTGACACGAATTCTCGCAATTTCCCTCCTACATTCCTCTAAACCTCTCAGTGCCCTTGCCCATTCTCCTGCCCCTCAGGTCACAGAAGAAGAGGCAATACTCTACTTTGTCAAAGCTAATCCCTCTCCCAGAATCCTTATCTCTATTCCCTCCAGTCTTTTACCAGCATCTGGCTTCATTGGGTAAGCCCTCTCTTTATCATGCACCTTCAATCTCTCCCTCTCTACTGGATCTTTTTTCTTTTCAGCCTGAAAACTTGCTTTTGTCTCCCCTATCAAGAAATAACTACTATGAATCCCACTCCCTTCAGAGAATCAGAACTCTCAGAGCACTCTAAGACTATCCTAGAAACCTAGATGGGAGGAGAATCACACAGAAAGGAGATGGTAATGTTGAGGTTTAGGGGTGCTGGGACCCCAAAATAGCGACATGTGGGTCCTGTCTGAATGAAATTGACCCAAGCCTTCTTTCAGCCAAAGACAAGGTTTATTAAAGATCTGTCATATTGGCCAGACTGTTAAGGAATCTGAACTTTTGTGATGATCATATTGACAAGTGGGCTAGATTAAATCTCAGCCCCTGGCCAGATTTTAAGAAGTTGAGCACCTTAATGGAAACAAGATGGATCTTATATACAGAAAGACTGTGGGAGGGGTCTAGGAGTGGACAAGTAGTCTGAGGTGACTGTGAGGAGGTATATTGGGAGGATCTGGATGGGAGTGGCCAGTAAGCTAGGGTAACTGTGTGGTAATAGAATGCCAGGGTCCTGGAACATGTGGCCAAGAGAGAATGGAATCTAGATAGGATTAAGGGTGGGAAGTGGCCTGGGGTGATAACAGAACAGAATTGGGAGATTGGACTTAGCCACAATGAAGGGCCAGTTGAGTGGATTATAGCCTCAGGTGAATACCTGAGACTTGACCATATGGAAAAGTCCAGGGCTTTTCCTTTTTGGGATCCAAATCCCAAAGACATGGTCTTTTCCTTTTAGGGGTTCAGATCTCATCCCCACAAGTGAAATTGATAATAATAGCAATGATGATAATGATAATTAGTATTTATATAGTGTTCTAAGATTTACAAAGCACTTTATATCTCATGTTGCCCTCATAATAACCCTGAAAGGTAGGTACTTTTATTATTCCCATTTTATAGATGAGGAAACTGAGGTACATAGAGATTAAATGATTTGCTCAGGGTCACATAGCTAGAAAATGTCTGAAACCATATTTGAATTCTGATCTTCCTGACACCAAGACCAGCTTTATCCATTTTGACACCTAGCTGATCCTGGATCATCTATTAGAAAGAGAACTCCCCCTTGCCTGAAATTCCTGGTTCTCCACACTCCATTGCAGTTCCTTCCCCCAAAATATGCACTGACCAAGTTCAGCCTTGCAACTACTCAACCCCTTGCTGGTTTTGGCATATCTCCAGGAACTGAAAATGTCATAGGTCAAGAAAGGACCAAAAAGTTAAGACCTACTAAAGGTCTGCTCAACTCTGCATCTTTTGGAACCTAGTAACAGCATATTCATATTCATTTTTCTTCTGCCAATCAAGTCATCAGAGAGTCGTCAAATATTTCATTTAGATAAATTATAGATCTGATTGAGCAATTAAAGTCAGAGGCCTGGAATCCTTAATGGAAGAGAGACTTGAGTTGGAACAAAAGTAGGAATGCTTATTCATGTTGGGTGCTAGGCCAGTGTAGACATGGATAGAATTTAGAATTTTTAGAATTCAGAATCAGGGAAAGACAGAGAGGCTCTATTTGGGAACAGGAGACAAAGACTAAGGTTGAACCATTATTTTGTCTCTAGTCAGTCAAAGACAATTTCTTTGTGCTCACATGAATTAAAACACAGTGATGGGGGTAGGGGTAGAGAACATGCATGCATTGGAAAGAGTCCCAGATTTGGAGTCAGAAGAATTGGGCTTGAGTCCTGGCTTTGCTACTTACTAGTTAGCTATAGGATCCCATTCAGGTCATCTAACCTGTCAGAGCCTCTTCTAAAAAATAGGGAGAATACTTTTCTACTTCACAGAGTCATAATAAGGAAAATACTTTGTAATGGCAGAATAGGGATAGGTACTGGGTCTATGAGTTCAATAGTTTAGGGTACTCCCATTGGGAAACCTCCTTCTACCAATGTTGATTGACAGTTTGTAAACAGCAACACCAATAGAATATTGACATTAGAGAAAAGCAAACCAAAAAGAAATGGGAAGGTAGGGCCCCACCATGGTCTTGGCCTTGCTACCTAGCTTCTTTTCATGGCATCCTGAATTATGCCAAAGGAGTGTCCTTAGTCAAACTATCAAGCTGATTCATTTTCCCCATAGGTATCCTTTTGCCATTTCCCTAACAGCAATACTTCTTTTCTCTCTCCAAGTGTCTTCATCTCTTGAATTCCAGGCAACTGTTCCTAGCCACAGCTTGTTTTTAGCTACCAGTCTACTAATCCTCCCTTGAGGCTGACTTAGGTGCGATTTAGAAGCTATGCAACTATGATGCTTAAAATATGACTACTGGTATGTTAGTACCCTAACCCTCTCAGTCCCAACCTCCATATAAGTTAGGCTGGTTTTTCCTTTAAAAGTATTGAAAGTGTCCTCAAGATCCTATTGACTTGGGCTGTTGGCATCAATTTCTGCTTTCTTAAGTACAAACAGCCATAAGAAGTTCCAGGCTGGCTCTGATGCTAGGCTGGGACCATCATGGGCAACTCAGAGGCAGGGAATCTTTGCTCAGTTGAATCAATTTGAGATGTCCTTGGTACCCATCCTTTTTGAATCTCCTTTCCATGGTATGTCTATGTAAATCTCCTTTAGCTATCTGTTTAATGACCTATGAGTGTCTCATTTCATTCTAATATCTGGACATCAACTACAGAGGAATGCCCTGGTTCAGCTCTAGCCCACAGCAACCAAGAGTTCAATCAAAAATTTTTTTCAACAAACCAAAACTGATTTTTTTGTCCCTCCCACCCTCTATAATTGAAAAATTAAACTAAAAACAAAATGCTTGTAATAAATATGTATAGTTAAGCTTTTAAAACCTTTCTTTATGAACCTCTCCCCTTTGAGATCAGAGATCATGTTTTGCTTATTACTAAAGTCTCCCTAAATCTACCCTTCTTTTTACTCCTGCCTTTCACCTCATCCTGTTTTCCTGTTGAACTGAAGATATTTCTATCCCAAACTCTGTGTG